GACAGTGGTGTGTTGAAGTCTCCTACTATTATTGTGGAACTGTCAATTTCTCTTTTCAGTGTTGTTAACAGTTTATGTATTTTGGAGCCCTGTCAATGGGTGCATAGAAGTTTATTATGGTTATGTCTTCATGATGGATCGTCCCCTTAATCATTATACAGTGTCCTTGTCTTTTATGGTGATTTTGTTTTAAAGTCTACTTTATCTGAGATTAGTACTGCCACTCCTGCTCTTTTTTGGTAGTTGTTAGCTTGATGTATTTTTTTCCAACCTTTGACTTTTAATAAATTCACATCTTTGTTTCTAAGGTGTGTCAATGAGTATTTACTTATATGTTTTGGGAATTCCAGCCAATTTTCCTTCCAAGACCTCAGTATATTTATCTCCATTTCAAAACCTACAAGCTGAGTGACAGGCAGAAATTAACTCCTACAGATCCCAGGTACACAACAGCCACTACATTCTTTTATAAACATCTGTGAGTTTTGTGATATGCTTTATTTGGTGGTTTAGGTTTTTGGATTGTTGCATACTTTTAAATCATTAAGTATACTGCAAAAATTGAAAGCATATAAAAATATCCCTATTACTTTCATCCTAATAACCACAAGCACTTTGTAATTTTATACACAGATTGATATATAAATAGGGAGGAATTGACTGTAATTCTATCCAAAGAGCATTTCTCAAATTCTATAAGCTTTATTTGTTACTCTATATTTTCAATTACACACCTATACTTCATACTCAAAATCTCTTGAAATATAAAAAAGGCAAGTGTGGCTGCATAATAGTATATTTATGAGAAATTACATAAATGAACCTTGGAATTTGAGTCAACAAGTCATGCTAATATGAAGCCCACAAATGTGCCTTTCCAGCCCTGGAAATAATTCTGTGTACACGCTAACCAAAAAGAGAATTATATATATACACACACACACATATATACTTCCTGGGCAGGGGTCAGCTATAACCTGGTAACTTTTCTGTACATTATTACAAGATTAGTTTATAGCTCCAGGACGCCTGTTAAGCTAATAAAGCTCCTACATCATCTAAAAAACAAGAGAAAACTATTCACCTTCAGATGAATCAGAGAAAACTGAGTGCTTACTTCTTTCCCATATCCAAAAAAGTTAAAATTTTCCCCAAATCTCACTCCAGTGAAAAGGGGGGTCTTAACTTTTAGAGAAATTATTTCTTGGCCAGTAGTAAGAACTCAGTAAATAGTAACAGCTGATTTGGGAGAAAACTGTTCATTAGGTGTATAGCTCAATTGTGTGCCAAAAATGGGGCCTGCGGAAAAAACGATCAGAGCTGGCGTGGCAGCCCTGGGCCTTGCTGCACAGCAACCAGGAGAGCAGAGACCAGCCTCTGGGCTCCCCTCTCCTGGAGAGGCCAACAGCCCATCTATTCACTCAAACCACCCTGGCATAACTGTCTCCTGCAAAATACCGCAAGTGCCATAAGCACTAGGGATAGAGATTCCAGCTTGCTGTCTCTAAAAAGAATCTTTGTCTATAACTAACATATTGCTAGATACGCAGAAACTTTAAATGTTGGGATACATGTTGTCTTGCTACTCACCCACCTTAAGTATCGTCCTTTTGCTACAAATAACATACTACTGTAAAAATTTTAAACAGACTTGAAAGAATATCTATGGAGTGTGATACCAAAAAGAGTACAGCACTTGTTTTATCTGAGTCTTTCTAAAACAACTGGGAAGTTGAGATGGACACATGCAACTTTTGACAGTATTTATGCAATCGTTTCTTTTTTTTTTTTTTTTAAAAGTAGAATTAAAGAATAAACTTTTGGCATCAGAAATGTTTACTAACAACTAAACTGAACATGGGCTACATTCTTAATACAATCTTTAACACAACCGCAAAAAGCATATACACCTCAAATGTTGGCAAATTGTTTCAAAATGCAACTCTCCACAAGTTTTTGGTAATTTATTCACAGTTCTGGCTTAGAGTCACTGGACTTACAAGACATGAGGAAGAAATAACCAATTGGCTCAGTAAACTAAACATTCATTTCAAAGAACAGAAAACTGAAACAGATGATTATAAAATTTCCAGTTCAAAAGAAGTATTATTTAAACAAATACCAAAAGTTTTATTTAAGCAAAAACACATTCAACCAGAGAACATTTAAAAAGCTAACAGGATCATTTCTATATTCATTCTGAAAACAAGTATAGTAAGAAAGGTAATCTGAACATTTCCTAAGATGTTCTCAGTAGCCATTATTTATGGTATATTCCATAAAATCTTTGATATCAAGCAACTACAGACAAATTAATACGGCATAACTTTACAGTCTTGCTAGTTAAGTTTGATTTTTATTTTAACCCTGAATATTATTGATTTGAAGCTAATGTTATCAGTCTTGCTACTGTCGTAAATGTAAAGATATGATTAAATTAAGCTAGGGAGATATAGTTGAAAAAAATGATTTGTGCTAAGACTTCTAGAGATTCTAACAGGACAAAGTAAAGTAATCTGAAATCTGTTTACTCTGTCTCGTACTCTTGTACACAAAATCTACTAAATATGTTGATATCAGAAGACTAAAATATCTTTCTTTGCCATTCCCTTCAATTTCTTTGGCCTTCACAAATTCAATGTGAGTTATTAATTTTTTAATAAATACTTTTAAATGACATTGTGCTTTTTGAAAAACCACTTAAATTGTAGCATACCATAGTTATAATTAACATTAGTCTTTCTCTTTTATTGCTATAAAAAAAAAAAATGACCTCCTAGAAAGTCCTCTTGGATGCACTTCTCTCCGCTCTTATTACCACTCTGCCATCAGACTCTCGTTGCCTTTAACCTGGATCATGGCAACAGCCTCCTCAATGCTCGGCCTCCAGACTCAGCTTCCTCAATCCATCCCCCACAAACCTAAGCTGCACATCTGATCATGCCATACTCACTGCTCCAAGATAAACTTCAGACTCACAGACTCTCTGGGATCTAGGCCCTACCTTTCTCTTCAGGCCCTTCAAATATAATTGCAGACAAAAACAGTAAGGGAGAAGATTGATAGATTTGATTACATAAAAATCAGAAATATCTGCAAAAATCCACCATTAACAAAAGGTAGATGACGAAACAGAAAAAATATATATCTGTAATGTATACGACAAAGGATTAATATGTCAAATATGTAAAGAACTTCTAATAATCTTTAAGGAAGATGACTGCCCCAAAAAGAAAATGGGGAAAGGAACATTAAGAAAAAAAAATTCACTGTAGAAGAGAAGACTTGAAAGAAAGGGAGGGAGGGAGGAAGGGAGTGAAGGACAGAGGAAGGAAAGGAGTAGAACAGAGAAAGTACAAAGAGAAAAATACCTACGAAATAATTCTAAATTTGTTGCACTCTTTCACCAATATCAATGTAAAGCATATAGTTTTTCTGAGCCTAGTCTACTATACATATTTAGAGTCAAATGATTGTTCAAAGACTTGCAGATCTTCCAAACTGACACTAAGGTACTAGTTTTATGTAACAAAACAGTGAAGGAAAGTTAAAAAGTCACTGCAAGAAATTCTTCCTTGGAACAAAGTTGAAGAGGTATGACATCAATATATCAGCATTGATTTAATGAGACATTTCATAGCAGCTCCCTGCTCGGATTTCAAAGAACAAAATAAGTCATTTAGCAGTTACTTATAAAAGACTACAGACACAAGGAAATAAAAATAACCACTTTTAGGAGATGAAAAAACAAGTAGGATGCCCAGCATGTACACATCCCATCTTCAAATTTAAAATCATATTGTTGGGTGTCCTAAGTGGCTCAAATGTAAAGTTTGTGCTATAAATTTGTGCAAATATGTTTTGTTAAGGGTTGGGGAAAACCAATGCATTACTGTAATATTTTGCTTCCTAAATTGTCTCGACCTGCAGATTCTTACAAGCAATTAAGTTTGAGAAATTAACGTCAACCTAACTTAGATATAAAATCCCACCAAAAAAAGTTTTCAGTTTTTCAGCTTTATAGTTTGATTTGAAAACCAAACAGAAAAAAGTTTCAAAATTAATCACAGCATCTTTTCTTTATGTATAACTTAGAAAAACCTTAATTAGATGTCCAAGTATTAGGATACATTGCCGCTTGCTTTAGATATTCCAATTTTATGCACTATTCTTTCAGTAGCCCAAACGGCATGGTAAAACAAATGCCAATGATTTTAAAAACACACGATCCTCTCAGATTGAAGTGGAGGGTCCAGAAATTCAACACCCAATGTTCTTGAAAGAAAATGACCATTAAAATCTCCTTCTGCAATAGATTCCAATATAGATTCCATTATTCAAACTCCCCCACGGATTACTGTAAAAATATAAGAGGTAATTTTCAGAAAAACCACTAATTGAGTGGAATAATTATAACCGATATATAAATAAAGATTTACTAAAAAAGGCTTAAAAGGGTGATATTTTAAATCAAGGTTTTAAATACAAAAGGTGTCTTGTGTTGCTCAATTGCCCAGAGTTTAGATGCTCTTTATTCTACAGTTACAGATTTGGCAAGATTCCGTGGGAAATCAACCTGCAAAAAAAGGCAAGATTTGAGAGATTATACAGGCTGGGGGGTGTGGGGGTTAGGGAGGCGGGGAGTGTTGCTAAAAGCAAAATATTTTTGTTCGTTAAAAAAAGGAATAATATGCTCATTAACCATCTTCATTATAAACTACAAAGAATTAGATTAGCAAATATAATGATAATATAACTTGAAAAAGGCTGAAATCAGGAAAAAGAATTCCAAAGGAGCCAGTTCAGCACAGGAAGAGCTACCATGGTCCTCTGTAGAGGTGGTAGCCCTCTTGCGGAACACTGGAAATGTGTGACGACTGTTGTCACAATGATGGACAAGGAGACCAGGAATAAAAAAAGTCCAGTCCCAAACAACAAAGAATTTTCCTGCCTCAAAATGCCAATAGCTTCCTTGTTAAGAAACACTGGGTTATATACCAAGAAAACAGGTGGGGACTCCCCAAGGGAAGTCACAGTCTTGGAGGTGGCCCCCAAGGTTCCTTCAAGTTCTCTGGGCAAGAAAATATTATCATGTAACCTAAAAATTGGGCCATGCAAATATATCAGGTGACAGGTATTTACCTGACAGATCTCTCACATGTTACTGTCAGAACTTGGGGAAGAAAACAACCAGAACGTATCCAGGGTAAAGAACCATCACAAGGTTCTGGCAATGGCAGACCACTTACATCATAGCCTCTCAGCACAGCAAGGTGGAAGGCCAGCAACTGTAAGGGGATCACGCTGAGAATGCCTTGCAAGCAGTCCACTGAGTGGGGCACCTTGATTGTTCGTTTTGTGTTCTTAATGGTCTCGGTATCTTCCTTATCACAAATCACCACGGGGCGCCCCTGCGAAAGAAAATCCAAACACACACACACATCAGTGGCAACCAAAGGCAGGGCTGTAGCACACAGATGTGTAAATTTTTCACTGCATGATCCACATGTAAGTCTGATGATCTCAGAGTTGAGGAAATGAAAGCTTAGTGGGGTTCAGGAATTTGTCTAAACTCACTAGCCTCAGTACTTGAATCCAGGCCTATCTGCCTGCCTTCAAAACTCATGTCTGTAATCACTATCTTGTGCCTTCCTAATAAAATCTTGTCCCTAGGGAGTAATATCTTTGGGATTTATATATAAAGTCAACTGATCGGAAAGAATCTCATTTAAGCAAAGTATCCATAATAATAATATGAAGTCTAAATATTAAGTTTCCCCTGAAATATGTATTTAAATTATTAGGAGGGACCAGTCCCTGGAGGACATCATGCTTGGTAAAGTAGAGGGCCAGCAAAAAAAAGAGGAAGACCCAAAACAAGATGGACTGACACAGTGGCTACAACAATGGGCTCAAACACGGCAACAATTGTGAGGCTGGCGCAGTACCAAGCTATATTTCATTCTGTTGTATGTACATAGGGTCACTATGGGTTAGAACTGACTCAACAGCACCTAATAACAACAACAACTAAAAGAGAGCAGCAATTGAAAGAAGACAGGATTTGAAGGCCAAGACCTCTAAGTTTTGGCCTTGGTTCTACCTATTATGAGATTTACAAGCTGGGGCATGTCAAAACTGAGTCTATCACAGATTCCTCACGTGAAAACCTCAAAGACTGTATTCCCAAGCAAATGGCTTGAGTGTGAACATGCTTTGTAACCACCTAACTGGCACTGGTCTATCACTTCAAATTTCATAAAATTCAAATAAGCTTTAGGGACCCAACCCACCGGTCTCCATGATGTCCTCACAGCAGCCCAACTTACCTGCCGAGCAATCACCTGCTGAAAAGCATTCTGACACTTGGCGTAAGTGTGGTCTCTCATGATGATCATGATGACAGGCATCAGCTTATCCACCAAAGCCAGAGGGCCGTGTTTCAGCTCACCAGCAAGGATGCCTTCTGAGTGCATGTAGGTGATTTCTTTGATTTTCTACCAGGAAAGAGCCAGATTAGTCTTCAGTCTGTTTTTCAAAAACCTATCATTAAGTACATTTTATTCAAAGCCTCTGATGTCTTCAGTCACTGTTTATTTATCCAAAGTATTAAAGGACCACTGATCTGTAAATATAGCTAACAGGTTAAGAGATCATTATTTTTATAATACCAATAAGTTAAATAATTAGAAGTTTTAAAACTCCACAAGAACTTTCTGAAGATTTTAGATTATCATGAACTTACTCATATTTCTTTTTAACTGTTCTCCTATTTACTTCATGTTTGACCTCAATTCAATTTCACGTCTAGAGAACTTAAAACTGTATTTCTTCCATATTTGAGCAACAAATTAACCTAAGTTACTTGCAACTTATCCATGCTAAAAAATACTCTTCTTGTTTTCACTTTTGAATTAAAGTACTCTTTTACAGCACTATCTCAAGGTAAACAAACCAGAACGCATACATATAAAGGCACTTTTAAAAGTTCCACCTATTTCATTCATTCAATCTAAAAGCATTACTATGTTCTAGGCCCATAACTCAATAGACTGAAATTAACTGTAAGTGAGAAAACTTACCAGTGCCCCTTCAAGACAAGTAGCATAATGATAGCCACGTCCCATTATCAGGACTGACTTCTGATGATAAAGCTCTGTTGCAAGTTTCTGAATTTCATCATCCATGCTCAGTACTTCCTTAATCAAATCTGTTAAAGAAGTAATATTAGCAAAAGCTATGAAAAAAAGGACAATAAACTGAACAGATCTAATAATAATAATACATTGACTGCTGTTGTTGCTGTATGCCATCGAGTCAATTCCGACTCATAGCAACCCTACAGGACAGAGTAGAACTGCCCCATAGGGTTTCCAAGAAGTGGCTGGTGGATTCGAACTGTCAACCTTTTGATTAGCAGCCTGAGCTCTTAACCACTGTGCCACCAATAAAATTTCTATTTTTCCATGATATAAGTATGGGATTTTTTAATACACAGGAACAAAAGTAGGAAGCTCTTATTGACTAAACAGCTTCAAAGGACAGGAAGAGAATTTCATCCATTACCCACTCCCTTAGACCACAAAAGTATAACGAGTGACTGTCTTCATACCAGGCAGCCGTTTCAACCCAAGCATGATCTCTTTGCGTCTTTCCTGCATGGAGATCCTGTCATCACACATCATAAGGGCGAACATCACAAGGGACACAAACTGGCTGGTGTAAGCCTAAGCACCACAAAAAAGCAGGAGAATAAGTTGCAGTTGCATTTTAAGAACGTGGAATGTTTAATTTGAAAAAAGATGAAAATAAAAACTTCCAGTGGTTTTATAGTATATGTGACTTGTCTTTAAAAACAGCATTAGTAACAGTGAACTGAACCAATCCACCACTAGTCTCCATTTCTGAATCTTGAACAAACTATCTAAATCTTTATTTTACCATTTATAACATAAAAACACCTTATAATGCACTGGATACTTATACCATTTATAACATAAAAACACCTTATAATGCACTGGATACTTATGAAATGTCTAATACATCCTGAGAAAGGAAGATAAGCCGAAGGAAGAAGATGAATAGAGAGTAAATCTGCATGTGCCTAAGCAAATGAAGTTTCCCATGTAAGTCAGAAACCAAGGGCTTGAAGGACTCTCTCTGGGGTGCTTAAACTAGTTTTGTTCTATTTTTTTAAACAGCTCTTTGATGTTTTTCACCCTTGCCTTACTGCCCACTTCTCACTCCTACCTTTTTTTTTAAAAACTTTGTTTAAAAAATAAAAGTTTACTTTAGAAAAGTAAACAGAAATAAGAATAATCTCCTATTAATTAGCAATGTTAAGTGCTCAACTGCTAACTGAGAAGTCAGTGGTTCAAACCCACCAGTTACTGGGTAGAGGGTCGGGGGACTGGCAATCTGCTCCCATAAAGATTACAGCTCAGGAAACCCTACGGGGCTGTTCTACTCTGTCACATGGGGTCTCTATGAGTCAGCAATCAACTTGAAAGCACACAACAGGATTAATTATATTAATAATATGCTATCAATAACATTTGTGAATACTCCCTTCTAGTCTTCATTATGCTTTTTTTTTCTTTATATTGTTAAGAAAATTAATTATTAGCAGGTACTATTTTATAACTTGCTTTTACCTCTAATTAACATTGTAAGTATTTTCCTAAGACAGAATTCTTTCTCTCTTGTTTACTGGTTTGTCATAACCTTGAGCAATTTCTTCATCTCTTTAGCTCTTAGATGCCCATCTGTTAAAAGCACATGGTATGTACAAGATTATCCTGAGAATTAAATGAGACAAATGTAAAGCACTCACAATCCCACTCCTAGGAATATACTCGATAGAGAAATAAAGAGTCGCCACACAAATAGACATATGCACATCCATGTTCATTTCAGCATTATTCACAATAGCAAAAAGATGGAAACAACCTAAGTGCCCATCAACACATGAATGGATAAACAAACTATGGTACATACACACAATGGACTACTACACAACTACAAAGAACAATGATGAATCTGCAAAACATATCACAACATGGTTGAATCTGGAGGGCACTATGCTGAGTGAAATAAGTCAATCACAAAAGGACAAATACTATTATAAAAACTCATGAAAAGGTTTACACACAGAAAGAAACAATCTTTGATGATTACTAGCGAGGGAACAAGTACAGCCAGAATGCTCCCTAGAAGCAAGGATGGCAAGACTACGTCTCACATACTTTGAACATGTTGTCAGGAGGGATCAGTCCCTGGAAAAGGACATCATGCTTGGTAAAGTAGACGGTCACTGACAAAGAGGAAGACACTCAACAAGATGGACTGACACACTGGCTGCAACAATGGGCTCAAGCATAACGACAATCACGAGAATCGCGCAGGACCAGGCAGTTTCCTTCTGTTGTACACAGGGGTCCCTATGAGTCGGAACTGACTTGAAGGCACCTAACAACCAAAACAATGGGGGGGGGGGGACGGGCACAAACTAGACAATAGATAAGTGGCAACTTTGGTGAAGAGTAAGACAGTACGCAATACTAGGTAAGTCAGCACAACTTGACCAAGGCAAGGTCATGGAAGCTTCAGAGACACATCCAAACTCCCTGAGGGGCTGAATTACTAGGCTGAAGACTGGGAACCATGGTCTCCAGGGACATGTAGCTCAATTGGCGTAACATAGTTTGTAAAGAAAATGTTCTACATCCTACTTTGGTGAGTACTGTCTGGGGTCTTAAAAGCTTGTGAACGGCCATCTAAGACACTCCACTGGTCCCACCCAGTCTGGAGCAAGGGAGAATGAAGAAAACCAAAGCCACAAGGGAAAGATTACGCCAAAGGACTAACGGCCCATAACTACCACAGCCTCCACCAGACTGAGTCCAGCACAACTAGATGGTGCCCAGCTACCACCACCGACTGCTCTGACAGGAATCATAATAGTGGGTCCTGGACAGAGCTGGAGAAAAATGTCGAACAAAATTCTAACTAACAAAAAAAGACCAGACTTACTGGTCTGACAGAGACTGGAGAAACCCCGAGAGTATGGCTCCCGGACACCCTTTTAA